GAATTTAAGAGGCATAATTTCAGTTAGGGGGGGGGAAAGCTTTTGGCTTCTCTCCTGAGGCCACAAGAGGGCGCATCGAGCAAAATATTATGCATGTTTCTTCAAAGCGTAATAAAATAACACGACATCTTTGAAAAAAAAGTGCATCATGTTTAAAATAATGTTTATAAACCATATATAATTAATAAAGTTGCTTAAACAATTAGAAAAAAAACAGCACCATGCATGTATGTATAGTTTAATACAAAGGACCGAATACCAATCACAAAGAGTAGGCTACTTTCTTCATTTAAAAACATGATATACAGTGGGATGGGGGAAAACCACCATAAAGTCTTGAGACGTGTTTTTTAAAAGTTGAACTTACATTAATTTTACATGGCTTTCTAAACATGCCACTCTCTTGTGCGAGACGCAAGTGCAACGCTGATAGATGCCCCGCTAGAAAATGTGATAAAGATGCATTCTGTGTGAACGGCTTGGTTTCAGTTTCGCCGTAAACAACATCTTGGCCACACTGATGCTCTCGTTTTCCGCAATATATTGAATGAACAACGTAGCAGCGCCACATCTAGTGGGTTCAACTGGATAGGCTAACAAAAGCATTCAAATGCAATGACACTTACATTGTCGTCGCATTTCGTGCACCACTGATAAGGCTGCCCGACAACTGACGCAGACCTAAAATTCGAACGCAACGTTTTTGCATTCGAATGTGGATTTTTTTTTTTTTATTCGACGAATATTCGAAATTCGATTTTTTTTTTTGACAGCCCTAATGCACATAGTTTATTAAAGAGATTTTGTAACTCAGTGAGTAACCAAAGCTGTGTCATGTTTGTTCCCCTCATTATCAGAGTTGGAGTCTTGATTTTTGTGGTTTTGGTCTTCAGACCTCTATAGACCACATAAAATATGCCTTGATCTGGGTCTCATTACTCAATGTCTTGGTTTGGGTCTTAAAACTTGAAGTAGTTCACTGAAAGTTCACCAAACTTATAAATGTTCAATTAGTCTTAAGTCATGGTCACATATAGGGAATTGTTGGCAAAATTTGGCTAAAATGGTTAATTGTCAATAGTGTAGTGAGGCATGAAGCACAGCTCACACAAAAATCATACAAGCAGGTTTCTGTTGGTCAACATGGCGAATCCACATAACCAACTTGAACCCATTATGAAATCTACATGGGAAAACCTTTCGCCTTCATGCAAAATTCCCAATCGTTTGGATTCCAATAGAAATGACTGCACTTTATAAAGGAAGGACCGCACTTCTAGTCGGGGTCTGAGTCTCAGACAAGACACAATTATCTATTTCCAAGGTACTAATGGTGATAATTAAGTCAGCCACTACTTGGCACTGTATTGCCGTACCCTTATGAAGAATTCAGAAGAATGGCTAAGCAGCCCATTTACAAAATGTCTTTATATTAGTAAATGAATTCTGCAATACATTTACCAATTCAGTTCATTGAAATAGACAAACTTTTTTCTCAAGTCTTAAAGTAGTTCACCAAAAAAATGAAAATTCTGTCATTAATTACTCCCTAATTACTGCATTAACGACCCTCATGTCGTTCCAAACTCGTAAGACCTTCGTTCATATTCGGAACACAAATTAAGAAATTTTTGATGAAGTCCGAGAGCTTTCTGACCCTGCATAGACAGCAATGCAATTTTCATTTTTGGGTGAACTATCTCTTTAAGGTATGTTTACACAACAACAATGTACTAAAAAACTGAAAAGTTTTACCTTGCATTTTTGAAAAGTTTCACATACAGATAACAAAGTTGTCAAAATGGTTCTCGTTCACACGTATTAGTAAAAACAACAAAAAAAAAAAAACGCCAGTAGTTGGCGATGTAAAGAAACACTATGGGCATATATGCATTTTACGCATTCCTATAGACTGAATACGTAATAAGCATGCGCATGGCATCATTGTTTTCATAAATTCACGATTTTGTAGTTTACATCGAGACGATAATGGTATCCTTTACAAAAACTTGCACTTTGAAAGCTGTTTTCAAAAGTTTACGTTTTCAGGCCCCCAAAATGCTGTCGTGTAAATGGACAATAAAAAATATACCTTTTTATAGTTGAAAACGGTGTCGTGTAATGCCCCTTAGTCTGGATGCAGGCCTTGAGAGGTCTAGTCTTAGTGTAGATCTGGATCTTAGTGGTTCTGGTATTGATCTGGATCTTAGTGGGTCTGGTATTTGTCTAGGTTTGGATCTTAGGGTTCTGGTTTTCGTCTGGATCACAGTGGGCTGGTATTGCTTTAGGGGGTCTGGTCTGGGTCTTAAAGCTCCATCTTGTAGACCATTCTTTTCAAAGACTCAAATCACTTCCACATGCGCTTTTGTCTCTGCACAAGTCCACGCGGACACAAAAACTAGGACGTGTGCGCAGACCTCAACAGACAGTACTGATGACAAAAATTATGTCACGCAAATAGTCCGTGAGCCAGAGCGGAACGCAAACAAGGGAAGTATATTTTCAGCTTTAGTGGTTCTGCTATTGATCTGGATCTTAGGAGGTCTGGTCTGGGTAATTGGGGGTGTGCTAGTGATGTAGGTATTAAAGTGGTCTGGTATTGTTCTGGGTCTTAAGGAGTCTGGTATTGATCGTAGTCTCACGGGTCTGGTATTGATCTTGGTCTCAGGGGGTCTGGTTTTGGTTTAGGTCTTAGTGGATCTGGGTTTGAGTCTAGAAGGTGGTGGTCTTAACCCCACTCAGACTTATGCATTTTCCAAGTGCTCACAGTACTTCCAGAACGTGATTTCGTATCGCTCTTGACAGTCCTAAGTACTACACCTAATGGACTAGATATCAGCAGACTACTGGAAGAGTTTCCCTCTCAAAACAAAGACTATTGGGCTTTCTGGTAATTATGTGAAATGAACACTCATAGACACCATTACAGTGTAGCTTCCATCCTGAAAAACTGTAGAGATACAATACAGGACACCCAACCAGAGACCATCGGCTCATTAGACCGGCACAATCCACCCAGAACGCCTGAGAAACTGAGGGACGGACGCGGTTACTGGTGCTTACATCCACATAAACCTCATCGATCCGAAAGCAGGAGGAGATAGTCGAGTAACAAGCCTGAGATTCATTAGCACTCGGGCCATATGTTTACAGCACGCCTGTTATCTCCAACTCAGCAACACGGCATAACGAGCCTATCTCTAATTAAAGCAAGCTCATGCATGGAGCTGGAAGGCAGGAGGAAGTATATGATAGCGCCTCAGGGGTATGATGTGTTTGTCCTCCCGAGACAGCCACGTACATGCAGAAATACCTTCGCCTTATACCTCGGCACCCAGCCATTCTGAGTGAGATTTAATTGGTCAGCCCATAACAGGCCAAGACAAAATTAAAGGCAACATCACGGGTGGCTGCTCACCAATTACATCTTCCCACTGGCATGAAGTGGGAGCCATTTGGATATTGTTCTCATTGGCCCCTGTTTGTTCTCATTTGCAATACTGTGTTGGTAATTTAAATTGTTGTAGGCTGACTGCTGTATAAAAGTACTCAGTTGGGGAATGTTTTCAGATTCATTTAAGGAGTTGACTAAGTCATTTATTTGAAGTTACACTAACACGGTGACTAAATCTAGCAGCCATTCCAAGGTTCAGAAGTTATGTATCATGCAAAATCTGTCAAGTTCATGTCCAGGTCGTATTTCACACCAAATCATAAAGAAATAGGAAATAATTTTGTGTAAATAAAATGAAGCCTACTTTAGAGCCATTCTAATTATGTATTATTACAATTATTTCAATGACAATTAAGCACATATTTCGCCACTCCACTTTTTATTACAGTTACACCACAAATGTAATTGTAATTATGCTAACATGAAAAAATTGGGAATTATTTAAACTGTAAATTATTTATACATCATGGTTGTTGTATAGTGACCATGATTTCTGCATAAATAAATAAATACTGTTATGTAAAATTACTTTGATAATGAGAATCACTTCTGGGGAAAAAATAAAGATGGACGGACGGACGGACGGACAGATAGATAGATAGATAGATAGATTACCGACAGACGATAGACAGACAGACAGACAGATAGATAGATAGATAGATAGATAGATAGATAGATAGATTTTTAAGAAACTTTCTATATTATTTATTTAGATGACGCATACAACTAGTTAGCACAGTTTTATTTTAGCAATAATAAATGATATTTTGGAGAATGCTATACTTATCATTAAACATTTTTGCAAAATGTATTTTTGCCCTTGAAGTACGATATGAATGATTGCACAAAGCTAACATATATGTTCTTTTCTTCATTTTTCCAGATGTGTAAGCTTCATTCCTGTGGAAAAAAAATGAGGAGTCTTCTATTTCTATTTTGCACATGTTAATAGATATCGTGCATTGATAATTTAATTCAAGTTCTTTTTCTCACGAAAGAAAAAAAGACCTAGAAAGATTAATAAACGCTGACATTTACAAAAGGAAGACAAAAGAACAATAAAACATTTCAACATCTCTGACGATGACAGACCAGACGCAGACACAGGAACCGAACCCCAGGGGAGCAAAAGATTTGGGGACACGAGACTCACCTGGCTGGCAGCACAAGAAGAAAACAAACAAACAAACAAAACAAAATGCATCCACCTAATTTTCATTTGTCACAAGATTTTTCAGCCCATTTCGATTCTTCAAACTGTTTCAAGGACAGAAAATGCTCATTTTGTGTAACATCGATTTCCACGACATACAGCTAACTCATCATGCCAAAGACTTGGACTGTTTTCTTTTTTTTCCCATGATCCCTAGCTTCCCCAAGCCTGTGTCTGTAAGGGATTGAAACTGGCAGTACGAAATCTTCACGAGCTTCAAAGACTGAAGAGTAACACATTTATTTTGAAGGCCATCATTTGATATCTGTTGTATTCTTTTTGTTTACCGCTTTTTCTTTTATCATTTTTTTGGCCCCTGAACACAGAGAAGTTGAAACTGTAAATAACAAATTGGTTTGGACTGTTCTGGACCGCCTTTTGTAACAGGAAGAACAACGTGTCGTGTCAGACCATCTGAAGATTAAGCACCGTTCGGAAACATCTTTTCATTCTTTGCCTATTTGCCTTTCACCATCTGTTTTTGCAGACTTTTCTAGTAAATATCACAGTTTAATACTACCTTCTTCAAGACATATCGTTTCGCTTTGTTATCATTGAATAAAATATAATTTTAGAACCTTAGAACCTTTTTGTTTATTTGTTTGTGGTTTGCGTTTTTTTCTTCTTCCTCTTTCTTTTCAAACCTTCATAATTGCTTAATTCTCCTTGATCATATTTTGTAAACTATGCTATGTATCTTTAACATGAGAAAAGTTTATTATTTAATAATGTATGTATTAGCTTTAGATTCTTGTAACCTGTATCTGGGTTCTTTTTATAGATGTATATAAAATGAGAAGTTGTTCATTAAATGTGACCATTTCACAATGAGTAGAACCTGGCAGTCTTTTTGTTCATGTCTATCATTGATCGTGTTGCATTTCTCAACTGGTTTAATACTGGCGATCCAACACAATACCAAAATTCTTTACAAAATAGTCCTTAAAACCTGTATTTAACGAAGTCTGGGTAATATTTTTTTTTTACTTTGCATAGTTTTGTTTGTGTTTTTTGAGGATGTTGATCAATGTTATCTAACTTTTATCAAGGGACAAATTAATTTGTTGAAAAATAGCGTAACATTTGGCATTTTTTCACCAGCCAACCGCAATCCTACAAGAACCAATAACTCGATTGCATGAGAAAACATAACTATTTTACAAGGTACCGATTTCATATGGATTCAATCTTTTGAATAACAGTAAGCATGAAGGTCCACTCCTAAACCCAACTATAAGTAGTTGCAAGCAAACATATGAAAATGTATGAGTTATGCCCGGTTCAGACTACACGATTTTAGCCCAATTTTGCCACGATTTGCTTGACGTAGGTTGTCGTGGGGATTCGTAAACGACAATGGACGTCGGGGACGCAAGATTCCATCGTTTCAGCTCGTGTAGTGTGTCATAGTGGACGACAACCGATTCCGCGTCTGCGATGCTTCACGACATCACGACAGAAAGACTAGCA